GTTTCTTCTGTTTCTCAAAGTTAGTTTAGAGTGGGGCGTTATCAGGAGTTCAGTGCCCTGGGGCGCTGACAAAGGAGATGGATTTGGATGTGTTTTCAGTGACAGGTGGCTTACTGCCCACAGAACAGACTGTTCCCTGGGCAATGCCGGGCTAAGTGCTCAGTCCTCAGGGACCTACCTGCCTGCCTTGCCACGGAGCAGAGCTGTCTCCTTGTGTCTTAAGCTCCAGCTCGGCCCCTGAGCAGTGACTCCTCCTCACTACTAAGTCTTCCAGGGAAGCAATGAACTTTGAAAAGAAAGCCTTCCTTAACTGTGCAAATTATTATTAAGAAAGTGCAAGTGCACTCAGTTTAACACACGCTAACACTCCAATAGAAACCGTTGACACTTCTCAGATTGGCGAAAAGCCCAGTGTTTGAGAGTCCCTTGGCAAGGCTGTGAGGAAACAGCCTCGTGTTTTACAGGCCAGGGAGTGAGTGGGGATCCCCCTTAGAACTGGCTGGCTGCTCTTTGTGTACTCAGATTACAAAGACATGGGTCTGGCCTGTGGCATCATTTATAGTGTCAATTGCCATGTGAACAAGGTAACTCACGGTGGCATCACTTGAAATAGCAAAATTATATAAACAAATCATAGCTTTCTCATACAAGAGACACGAGGCAACTGGGAGAAGAAATAAATGGTTGGAAACGTGAGGGAAATCTACAAGTGTGGAGATCTTCCAAGAAAAAAAAACTGCACTATATTCGTATTTGGAATGAAATTGGCAAATATACATATTCATTACAAAGGAAGGGATTAGTGGTCTGCACTATTGTGTCTCTGAAACTTAACTTTCTCATCTGTAGGTTGGGCAATATAGTTCGATTTATCTCTTAAACTGAAATTGTTGAAAATGCCTTACAAAATAGTGAGCCCAAGGCAGGAATCCATTCTCTTCAAAGGATTACTACATCATCTGCCTGAGTTGGGACTGAGCAAACTATGCCTTGAGAACCACATAGAGCCTCCGCGTGTTCTCAGAACAGGGCCGCCGTTAAGCCTTTATGTATGTGCACAGCTGCTCTCAGCACACTAGCAGATATGAGTCAGCACAGCAATGACCGTATGACCCCACAAGACCTAAAATATTTACTCTCTGGTGTTTTTGAGGAATTAAAAAACATACACACCCATGGTCTGACTGCTCACCCCCCACACACACACACACACCCCACCTTCAAGCAATTCTTCCAGCATGACGAGAGGGAACTTTATACACCAGATCTCCCTCCCACACTATAAAAGGCCAACCTGACTCACTGATGCCTTCTCTTATGTCTTTGCAAAGGTCTCCCAAAAGCTGCAACCATCAATCACCATCGCCTGTGGTATGGAACTGGCCTTGCGCTGGCGAGTGGGATTAAGGCCCACGATATAGTCTACACCACCATGCCCCTGTACCACAGTGCGGCGCTCATGATTGGCCTCCACGGGTGCATCGTGACTGGTAAGCTCTGTTTCTCTCACCAGGCATCAGGAGTTGACACACAGCCAGTCACATCTGCTCCTGAGGAAAAGCACATCTGGCTACTTTCTTGTCGACCAGAGACAGTCTTTACTCCAGCATTGATTACAAGGCCCTGTGGTTCACGAGCAAGCATCTGCAATCATTTCGGTTTTCCCAGGCCTTAACTGTTCAATATATCTAGGGAGAAATTCCTTTTCTTAGCGTCTGTAAATAATTCTCCACCTTCAGAAACGGGCACGTCACTCTCCGGCAGTATCGACACTTCTCTGCCCATTGTCCTTACTCTTTATTCGTCCTTACTTCCTCGGCTTCCTGGCCTTAGTCAGAGTAGCTGGCCTGCCATCAGCTCCTCGGTCCCTCTCAAACATCACCGTCCAAACAGGAGTCAGCATCGTGTGTCCCTTCAGGAGCATTTGTGTTGCTTTCACCCATAAAGGTTCGGTCCCATATCCCCCTCTTCTCCCATGTGACATTTTAAATAAGCTTTAAAAATAGACACATTTATTTGAGATAAAATATATAGCACATATAATTATGTATATACATATACATTCGTGTGTCTATAATAGGCCAGAAGTTTGCAATTCTGAGCCCTGGTGGCATAGTGTTAAAGGCAAGGCCTTTGGAAGCGTTAGGTCGTGTATGTGGAGCTTTTGAACATTGGATTGGTGCCCTGATAAGCAGGTAGAGAGTCTCCTCGCTGGCTCTGCCCTCCCGCTTAAGAGGACATGAAGAGGTGATGGCCGTTCCCAGACCAAAAAGAGTACCCTTGCCAAACGCTGGATTTGCTGGTGCCTTGCTTTTGAACCTCACGGCCTCCAAAACTGGGAGAAATTATTACTTCTAGTGTAAGCTAGGCTGGCCTTGGTCACCTTTTATAGCAGCTTGAACTAAAACTCATGGTCCAAGCATCTATTTCTTTCCTTCATCTACTGACTCATCAGCTCTGAGGTGCTTTGCCTGGTGTCAGCCCCGCCCTCCAAGAGCAAAGCATGGCTGGGCATGGGCATGCTACTGGATCTTCAAGGGCAGAGTGGTTGGGGGGCCCTGGAATAGACAAACAAGTACCTTCAGCACCACAGACACAGGCAAAAGGAGAAAAAACATTTTTGAAAGTCTCTTCTCGACACTAGTCATCAATGTGTTTAGGAGAGAAAATAAGCAAGTAACGTGAAAAGTGGGTATGGGCTTCCTGTTGCTGCTGTAACAAATCGCCAGAAGCTCAATGGCTTCCAGAAACGCAGATTTGTTTTCTCGTTGTTCTGGAAGTCAGAAGCCCGAAAACCAGCTGTCTCCGGCTGGGTTGCACTCTCTCCGCATGCTGAAGATCTGTGTCCTGGTCTTCTCCACTTTTAGAGGCTGCCTGAATGCCTTGGCTCATGGTCCCTTCTTTTATCTTCAAGTCTTACCCTCCAACTCCCCCCTTTACTTTTCCTCTTCTTTAGATACCCTTACATTTGGGTAAAGAGATAGTCTGGGAAAATCTTCCCACCTCCAGACCCTTAGCTTCAACACATGATCACATGCCTTGCCACACAAGATAATATGGTCATGGGCTCTGGTGGTAGCTCACTCTCTGGCTCTCTCTGGCTCTCTGTCTCTGTCTCTCTCTCCCTCTCTCCCTCCCTTCCCCCCTCCCCTCCTAGGATCCCTCTTCCTCTCCTCCATCTCATAAGCCTCATTTGGGCCCCTGGATAGTATTAGGATGATTTCCCATGTATCCTCTCCCCAGATCGGAGGCCCACATCGGTGAAAACAGGTCTCCATGGTGCTTTGCACTCAGTGTAAGAGGCACTCCACACGTGTTCGGTTTCATTCCTTTTTAAGTTTTCTAATCGGAGAGATTTTTCTGTGCTCCTTCCCTGATGTTGTCTGTGCTTTTTTTGATAGGGGCTACTCTTGCTCTGCGGAGCAAATTTTCAGCCAGCCAGTTCTGGGACGACTGCAGGAAATACAATGCCACTGCCATCCAGTACATCGGTGAACTGCTCCGGTATCTGTGCAACACACCCGCGGTAACACTGCCCGTGTTTTCGTGTCTTTTCACGGTCAATAAGATGTTCAGAGTTTCCTGGGATTGTTCCAGGCTTCTGCTGACTCATCTGTCTCAGTTCTCAGTTCAGATGTCAGTCTGTCTGTTACAATCCAATGCTGCGAGCACCCTTACCATCTAGAAAGACCTTGATGGGGGAACAGTGACTGTTAATCTTATTGCAGTTTTTGTTCTCTGTCCTGTTACATGTTTTCACACCTTCCCCTTCCCAGGTCCTCCTCTTTTCTTCCTGCATGTGACAAGCCGCTGTCAACCCCACCTTAAATAATAGGTCATATGCTAACCTATTTGAGTCACTCCAGCAAAAGTCATCCATCTATGGATGGATAGATCTACCTATGTTTCTGCCTCTCATGTTGCATGTGTGTGTCTTGCCTCCTGCCTTCCCTGGGCTCTATAACTTTGTAATAGTTTTGTCTCCTTGGCCTCCCTTACCCTCCCTTTCACCACAGCTGTTCAGAAAAACGTTTACTTGATGCTGTTTAATGAATAAATCTACCCCCAGCTTTGAAACAAGCAAATCACATCTGTTTCATAGAAACTCCAAGGGTCTTAGGTCCACCCTGCTTGGAGCTATCCAGATACTTTGACAAGGTTGTTCACAAGAACTCCCCCTGTGCGGTCCCTGGTAGGTCCTTGGGACCTGATCAGGGTTTCTTAACAGTACCACTGCTGTTGTTTGGGGCCTGCTAAGCTTTGGCTGTGGGAACCTATTCTATGCCATACAGGACGTTTAGTGGCTTCTCCGGCCTTCATTCTCAAGATATCAGTAGTGGCCTCCCCTTCTGCTGGTCCATGATAATTACGATGTCTGTAGATACTACCAAATGTCTCCCAAGCAGGCAGGTTTGATCCTTGTTGAGAACCACTTGACTAAATAGTACGGAGCATCCACCAGATTTTAATCCCTTTGAGCTATTCAATCAACAAAAAACCAAGCTCAAACGACCACTGAGTTGGTTAATCACTATTGGTTAAGCATCTGTTACATTCAACTTATATATCCGGTGCTGTGTGGCAAAGAAAGAAGAAAAAGACCCTCTCCTTTCCTCCCTCCCTTTTCCCCTCCCCCTTCCTCCCTCCCTTTTCCCCTCCCCCTCCCCAGTCAGGCTTCCTCTCCTCACATCACTCAACCTCTGCTCAGATGCCAGCTCACAGGGAGTCTCTCCTACCAACAATCCAGCTTGCCTTCCTGATGCTCCGTCCTGTCTCGACATCTCATGGCACTTATCCCAAATTGCACCCGTCAGATTGAGGTTGCTATCTGTCTGCCTACCCCACTAGTGGAACTCCACGCGAAGGCCTCATTCACTGGTCCTCCGTGGCATCGAGATTAGAAACCAGCATCCCAGGCACCAACACATTTTGCTGACTGAACCCCTAAGTTCTTGTTCTGGAAAAAAAAATGTTTACTTGAGGGAAGTAATTTTTTTTTCTTCCAAAATGTTCAGGCTTAGCATACTTGTAATTTCTTGAAAGTTCAGCAGATGCATAAAGGTCATAATTATCTATGGGATAAATCAGGACCTTTTCCCTAACAGCATTTTCTACATTAGTACTTCATCTGGTCCTCATGATTACATATCCATCTATTATAACCCAGAAATAGGTCCGGAGTCTTTCTACTTGGCAATTCTTCTCTGCTGTAAAGGCATTTGCCTTATCAATTAGAAGTCTCCTAGGGGACTGTGTTCTATTTATTTTAAAAGATCTCCTTTGAACTAGGGAAAATAGACATGCTTGTGTGTCATGTTTATGCTCTTCAGAGATAAACTTATACACACTTGGATCTTTCTTCTTTTTTCTTAATGTTACCACAAATGCTGGGAAACAGTGATGGGTTTTACACTTTCAAAACACTGTGTGCTGTGAGGTATAATCTGTGTATAGACTCTTCTCTTGGACTGGGTCTGGATGCTGTGGGTTTCCCCTGAGTGTTCCCTGTCTGCAGACTCCTTGTAAGAAGTCTAAGGAATGAACCAAGTTACTTCAAAAAGCCTTTGGTGAAGAAATTTTATGAATCATGGGTCATTCTAGATGACCCAGATTCTATACACCTAGGGAGAAGTTTTTAAAGGGTCTTGACACCTGTGCTTACATGAAAATACACCACACATACAAAAAAAAATAATTAGGAATTGAAATTTGGCCTTGCACACAGAAAGAATTTCCTGACAGTAAGTGAGTTCTACACATTGAGAAACACAGTCTCAAATAAAATAAAATAAAATAAAATAAAATAAAATAAAATAAAATAAAATAAAACAAAATATAGAAGAGACCTGAGTAAAAAAAAAAATAATAATAATAATTAAAAGATAGACTTGAAAGAACTCCTCAAACAAGAACTCAGGATCAGTGTAACCAGGACTGCCTCACCCTCAGAGCCGTTGAGAAGAATAGGCTGTCCCTAGAGAGGTTGACGCCACCAACAGCCCGAGACCTAATCAGGCAAACCAAATGGCTCCCCTCAGCATGGCTCGTCAAGCATGGCGTCCTAGGGCCAGCACTGGAGACTGGAGCCTTCTGTGGCTGTGAACTTAACCATGTTCAGTGGCTTTTCTGGTAGAGCAGAGGACATGGAAAAGTAAGACCCCAGGAACAGTTCTTCAGGTCACTGGCTCAGATTTGACTCCCAGGAAAATACCCCATCAGAGCAAGGACCCCGGAGTCTGCAGGCTATTCCCTGACTCCGCCATTTGAGCAGTATAATCAACCTTTCGAAATGTCAGCTTCCCAGCAGCCAACACCGGCATGATGCTATTTTTCCTTAAGTAGAGTCTGAATACAAAATGAGCTTGTGGCCACAAAGCATAGCTAAGCCTCTGTGTCTAGTAAGTGTGTAACAGGTGACGGCCATCGCTGCCGTTGTCACTGCGTTCTGTGCCTGCTAATACCTGCATGCTGATCCTTACATGGTCTCTGAGTGAATCAATGACATGGTGTCTGAACCTTGTCCATGGAAGAAATGAGACCTTCTTCTCTTATCACTTTATTCAGTCTCTCTCATCTGGGTTTTAATGAGGCACAGGATAGCAAAGCTATTGACTGAAGTGGTTTTAAGGTTGTGTCGTTGAATCTTCTGTAGCTGTCCTGCCCATTTCCCCTTGTAACAGCTGGGTCTCACCCTGCAGAGCGTTCCTTTATAAGGAAAGATCACTCTGCTTCACGTGTCCAGGGTGAGGTCGGTCCACACTCCTATGTGGTTCATGTAGTTGCCTAAAAGCAGTGTCTTTTAAGGAAAAAAAATGTTTAATTTCCCTTTTTAGGTTTATTTATTTAATGTGTATGGGTGTTTTGCCTGCATGTATGTCTGTGCGTCGCATGTGTGCCTGATGCCGGCAGAGGTCAGAAGGGGAAGTTGGATCCCCTGGAGCTGGAGTTACAGATCGTTGTGAGCCACCATATGGATGCTGGGAACAAAACCTAGGTCCTCTGCAAGAACAGCCATGGCTCCCTGAGGCAGAGCCCATCCCTCCAGGCCCCTCCTTTAGGAGAAAGTATACATTAATGCAAGATGTTGGTAAAGTGTTTCAGTCCAATAGTTGGGAACTAAGTGATGGCAAAGGGTTCTCAGTGAGATTTTGTGTATCCGCTGGGGGTGTGACCAAGGAAAGAGAGAGAGAGAGAGAGAGAGAGAGAGAGAGAGAGAGAGAGAGAGAGAGCGAGCAGGGAGGGCTGGATCCAGAAGAGTTCCAGGAGGCACAAGTAAAAGTCAAGATATTTGGAAGGGGAGGTAAGACAAGCAAGCGGAGCCCTGGTGGAGCTGGAGCGACTCGCTTACCTCCCTAGAGATGTCTTCCCTTGCTCTGAGCGTGAGATGGCCTCTCAGGTCTCTTCATTTCTGAATCCCCTGAATTCTGGCAGAAACAGGCCAGAGTGGTGTGTGCCAGCACAGGGAGCAGAGTAAACTGGGGCAAAGCAGGAGGAAGAAGGAAGAGAGGAGAATCAGGAAGGTTTGCCAGAGGCAATGAGCACGGAGGTTCTCCCGATGCTCTGCCAGAAAGGCGGCTTCTCCTTATCTGGACGGAGAATCTGCAAACAGCTCTGCAGGTGAGCTGAGCCTGTCACCCAGGAGGCAGAGGCTTCACTGTGCTGCGTCTTAAATGTGAACATGACAGATCGTGACTAAAGATCCTCACATGGAAGGCTGAGGTGGGAGATGGGTTTGGAGCTGGAGTAAGGAGGGTTTATGGGAGGGAGAAAGGCCTCTTGCACAAAGCAGGCAGGTTAGAGCCTCCCTGTGTGCAACTACACAGCAGACGTGAAGAACATGGATTCGGGAATGTTTGAAGATAATGATGACCTTTCACCTTTTGGAAGTCACACAAAAACAAGGGAGCGGAGGGGGAAAGCACACAGCTGCATGATCTAAAAAAAAAAAACTAAGAGAGGGCTGGACAGAGTTCAGCAGTCAAGACCATTTGGAGCAGAGTTTGATTCCCAGTGTCCCCATGGTGGATCACAACCATCCATAACTCTAGTTCTAGGGGTTCTGACATCTTCTGGCCGCCTCCTCCTCCACCAGACACACACATGGTGCACAGACATACATGCAGGCAAAACACTCACACACATCAAATAAATTAGATATTTTTTTAGAGCTAAGAGAGATTACAACCTTGAACTACATGAACAGCAATTTGAAAGATGGAGGGAGACTAATGTAGTAGGCCCAAGAAAGGTAAAACCTAAGAAGCAGGTAACATGATGAAATTTAAGTGGAGGGAGGTTCATTCTCTAAGAACAGTTGGATTCTGACAGCACCCTGCACTGCAAGAAGACAACAGTGTGACGCCCTCAGAGTTCCAAGCAAAGGTTACCGTCCGCCTAGAATTCTATACCCAGCTGTGTTGTAGATCTGTTTTACAAGAAGAATATTTTCAAACTGGGCCTTGTTTCACAGGCCTGTAATCCAAACTACTTAGGAGTAAAATTTGATGAATCAAGAGTTAGAAATGTAAACATTGAAGTTGGAAAGGTGGGGATAAGAAAGAACACTAAGAGTTAGGAGTGTCGGTCTCGGAGCAGCAAGCTAAGGACAAGGATTGGGACGGAGAAACGGAATGATAACAGTATGCTTCATTCAAAAGCCCCTTCAGGACAGATTGATTTTTATACTGTACACTCTTCTCTCTCTTTCTCTCACTTTATTCTTCGTTTTCTTTCTTCCTTCCTTTTTTTTTTTTTTTTTAAGACAGGGCTTCATGTATCCCAGGCTGGCTTCTGGCCTCAAACTCTCTAAGCGGCCTGAGGATGACCTCGACCTTCTGATCCTCCTGCCTCTGAAAAGTGCTGTCTGGAGCCAAATAGATGTGTGTTTGATTCTCGGAGCAACTCCTTTGCTGTCTGTGTATCCCTGGGCTCTTCACTCGAAGCTTTCCAAGGCTCTGTTTCCTCGGTTGAAACCTGAGACAAATACCTCACGATCTGTCTTGTCTGGTGGGCTTTCGAAACTGAAGTAAGACAACACAGGCCCAATGCTGACACACGTACAAGCCCTCAGTGACAAGCGTCTGCTTACTTTAATTCTCTGGGTCTCTGCATTCCTCCCAGGACACGCTGACCTTTAACCTTTTTAGTCACTAAATCCCAGTGGGAACCTAGGCCCCAGGTGTGTGTGCCTGTCTCGGCTCAGCTCTCATGTAGAAGACAAAATAGAGGAATGTCCCACAAGTCAATTCCTTAGGAAAGTTGCTTAGGTGGGTAAAGAAGTACCACGTCCCCGGGAGGGGAGGAAGAGCGTGAGTCACACATCACCCTCAGCTACTAACAAGCAAGACAACGTAAAAAATTTGGGGCTTCTTAGAAGTTCCCGGGCCTCATATGTGACCAGAAACGTTTCTAGCCTTCAAAGTCCAGTCCCTTCTCCTGGTGTAACGAGATCCCTGGACTGTACGGTGAAAACTGAGCCCATGGTATTATGATTGTAAATCCAGCTACCTGCCACCCACAGGTGTCCTGCTGCACCTGTGTGGCTGGCCAGCTGCCCACATACCCAGGCTCCTGCACCCTTCACCCCTCTGCCTTTGTACGGATGCCCCAGCCAGGAGCTGCTGAGCATTCCCGGGTGCAGGTTACTTGTTTAACCACAGAGATTATACTGTATGCAAAACACAGGCCCAAGCCCTGTGGAGGATTCAGAGGTATGTTTGGTCTCCAAGGAGGGAGCATCTAATGAAAGAGAGATGGGCTATTTGACAAGGAAGTGAACAAAGTGTGTGGGTGGAGAACGGAGTATGGGCAGCACGTGGAACGTGTGAGGTTCTGAATTTACACATGGGAAGGCCTCTCTGCCTTCTAACCGGCCTGGGAACTGGTGAGTACCACGATCAGGTGGTTCTTAAGTGAAAATACGTATTTTCCAAATATGGAATGGTTTAGTCTCAGAGTTCCCATGAAAGGGAGCAGAAAGAGAACTCTGGAAATCTGCCAGTCCTTTCTGAGGAGAATAACACTGTATGGGCAGGGGAACCCTATCATTAATGGCAACTCTAGAGAGGGATTAGTGATTGGCATTCCAGGACAGCAGCCAATATAAGCCAGAACTGGCCCTGGCAAACGGACACGCTCTCTACCTCCTGACAGGTCCTGGGTAATTGTAAAAGAGAACACAGTGAGTGCCCTGGGGCCTGTGGAGCTGATGAAGAGAGTATATTCCTAAGCAGGCAGAACACCCAGGACTTACACAGGTTCAAACCCCCTCAACCAACTTTGACTTAAGGACTCTGGCCGCTCTCCATACATTGTCCTCAGAAAGTCCACTCAAGGGACCATTTCCTTCCGTGACAATCTCCGTCGACCTCTCTAGCTAGAAAACCACAGTGGGCCTCATCACCTAAGTCCTTTGAGCAATCAAGCTGCTTAAAAATCAAATCCAAACTTGCAGCTTCCTGAGGTTCTAGCCCCTTCTCCATGGAACCGATTCAAAGTTTATTTCAGTCTGCTTCTAAATGCTGCAGTCCTTCCCCCTTAGAGGAGACCAGCAGTCTCCTGCCTCCCTCCCTCCCTCCCTCTTCCTCCCTCCCCACCCTCACCCCCAGGCTATATTCCAAAGTCCCTTCTCAGCCCAGGAGGTAATGAAAGATGCTGAGGTAGTTGGATTGCTTCAGGTTAAACAGCAGAGTGAGTCCTTACACAGGGCAACGTTTCCTTTCTGATTTTCATTCATGACAAAGCTTCTTCCTCTTGGGCCGCCTCAGCAGCTAGAAGTTGGCGTACTCCTTCTCTTACACTTCTCATCCTTTCCAGACAGTTCATTCCATTGGTTTAACGGCAACAGGTCTTGTAACCTTAGCCTTACCTGGTAAATGTGGTCCAGACTCCTCTCCAGTTTCTAACGTTGTTGATCTTCAATGGTTTACGGGAAATACCCCCACCCTGCCCCATCTCAGTCGGGTTCCCGGTTTTCCTCATTGCCACATAAAAGCTATTGCTTTACCAACCGAAACACCCAGAATCTTACTGGTACCAGGAAGTGTTCATTTCTGACAGTTTCCCATGAGCACGTTCCTTCTGGAAATTCACTGGCACTCATCAGCCCCATAAGAAAACGATTGACATTTTACACTGGATACAAATTAGATGTTGGCATTACCTGGTTCATCTGGTTGTTTCATCTTGCCTCAAATCAAAGTGGGAAAATATCCTTTTTTTAATTATTAAATCAGCATTCCACCTGTCGGACTATGGAGCTTGTGTTGCAGAAAGAGGGGTGTGTGTCTGTGAGTGATTGACTAAGACGAATTTGTAATGACACAAAAGTGAAATAAAATCAGGGCAACTACCGGCATAAATTGAATACATAGAATCTGAATACAGTGAGTGCAGAAATCCAAGCTCTCAAAATGTTAATGTTCTGTCTACTTCCTCTCCTGTTACCACAGAAACCAAATGACCGTGACCACAAAGTGAAAATAGCACTGGGAAATGGCTTACGGGGAGACGTGTGGAAAGAGTTTATCAAGAGATTTGGGGACATCCATGTGTATGAGTTCTACGCTTCCACTGAAGGCAATATTGGATTTCTGAATTACCCAAGAAAAATCGGTGCTGTCGGAAGAGCCAACTACCTCCAAAGAGTTAAGTACACTGAAAAATTAGCGCAGCGTAGCTGACTTTCAGAATACAGACCTTTAAAGCTGTACCACAAAGTAGCATCAGAACTACCAAGAGAAACTTGCCCATTGTCTATGATGATGACCTTTTTGAGATCATCTCATAATCATAGCAACTCATTACTTTCAACATTTGAAACCTGTATGAAATCACCCTCCCTTCATTCATACTTGTACATGGGGGAAAAAAACCTTGGGGGTCACCTTTCCGTAAATGCAGTGTCACATTTCCGTGAAATCAGTGTTTCCCTTTAATTGAGGGGTGCATAAAAATCACATGGGGAGTTCTTTATGTATACGGGTATAGGTTCCCAACCTCCTGGCTTTGGAGTCATTTGTTCTGAGATAAGGCCCTTGGTGCTTTTAAAAGCTGTGCAGGGTTAAGACCAGCAGCCCGGACCTTCAAGAGAAGTGGGATGTTCTGATTGACATGTATGTTCTCCTCGTGGGTCCACCGGAAAGATGTGTCTTCTCTTCCCTCTCTCCAGCGTTTTGTTGCCTGGGGACCCTGCAGGTCTGTTTTCTTGGTGGCCAGTCAGTCATTCTAAGGATGACCCATGGATACTGACCGGAGCTCCAGTGACCTGTACAGTGATCGCCGTCATCACGCCTCCAACAGGGAAACAGCCAGGAGCTCTGAGACAGCCTTTGTCCCCAGGGATTGACCGAGGGAGTGTCCATATGTTCAGTGCTGTGGCTCTGAAGGGCAGACTCCAGTGCCACTGTGTCCTAGCTGAGGGGCCCCAGGAAGTTACTTACAGTCCTTAGACCTCAGTTTCCCACCCCATGCTAGCTGAGTAGCCCCAGGAAGTTACTTACATTTCTTAGGCCTCCTTTTCAACATCTTAAAACAGAGATAAAAAGAAAAGATTGAGCCCAGGGGCTAGCCCAAATTCGGTGTTAATAAGGGGAAAGACTTGCAAAGTTATTTATGCAAAATCCCTGTTGTGTAATAACCTTGGGCATTAAGCCTTCCATTTCTTCTACTCTGGTGGGAGCACAAGGCATTCCCAAGTCCAAGGACCCTCTCCAGTGACGGCACCAAGCCCACACTGGGCAGCTCACTCCCTGACCTCTAGACCTGTGCTGTCCAGTGTGGTAGCCTCTAGCCAAGTGTAAATATTTAAATGTCAATAAAGCAAAAGTTTGAATTCAGTCCATCATTCACAGTAACCGCTGCCTTGCAGGTGCTCAGGGGTCACATGTCAGTGACACTATCCTGAGCAGAGCAGGTATTTTCCACCACCGTGAACAATCTTACCGAGCCACACTTCTACAGGCTGGGACATTAGTGTCAGGCCAGCGTGAACTAGCCCAGCCGTGGAGATTAAGGCTAAACACTAGCAAGCTGGCAGTGTTGCTCCTATTGACCTCAGAGAGAGGACTTTAATGGAAATTTGTTTCCTGCAAACTTCCACTTACATATGTGCAGATACACTACTAGCTCTTTACTTTTTCACCCATTGGTTGTCAGATTTTTATTGTCAGCTTTTCTATACTAAACAAACACCTTTAAAAAGAAAAAGAATTTTTAAAAAGTATTAAGGTGTCCCAGCAGTTAATGTGGAAAGAAGCATTAATTACAACCACAGGATTTTTGACATTCTTATAAATTAAATCAGTGTACATTTGTTGTCCAAAAATGCCACTCGGGGATTTTGGGTTGTTTTGTTTTGTTTTTTGTTTTGTTTGAGACAGGGTTTCTTTGTAGCCATGGCTGTCCTAGAACTCACTCCGTAGACCAGGCTGGCCTTGAACTCAGAGACCAACCAGCCTCTGCCCCCAGAGTACTGGGATTAAAGGCATGTGCCAGCACCGCCCAGCACCACTTGGGTTTAATGGAGTTGAATCTGAGCTGGCACAGTAAACATGGCTGGCAGTTATATCTGGACACTGTTGTACTTGCTGATTTCCTTGAATGGGGAAAATAATATGCTTAGCATTATGATGGTATACATTCTTAACCGTCAAACTGTGAGTTAACGTAGAGTTGGGCTGTTGGTGCTCTAAATGTGGTTTCAGTTTTGTAGTACAGGGATTGAACCCAAGGCCTTGCACATGCTAAACAAGCATTTACTGCTAAGCCACAACCCAGACCTTTTAAAAACCTGTATTTTAGGATAAACTCTTACTAAGTTTCCCATACTAGCTCCAACTTGTGATCCTCCTACTTCAACACACACACACACACACACACACACACACACACACACACACACCATGTAGCTGGGATTACAGGTATGTTCCACCACTCCTGGCTATGATAGCCTTCTAATAATTTTATAGTCATGCCTGAAATAATTTTTTCTTTGATTCTTAAATATAATGAATAATGTGTCCCTGGGGATGAGGATACTAGCCATCTGATGGTAACATATTAATACATTATCAGATATGACTTTAAATCCATTTGTAATCTGTCCACCAAAAGATATGCATGACAATCAGGCGGTGGTGGCGCACGCCTTTAGTCCCAGCATGAGGGAGGCAGAGGCAGGCAGATCTCTGTGAGTTCTTTGAGGCCAGCCTGGGCTACAGAGTAAGTTTCAGGAAAGATGCCAAAGCTACACAGAGAAACCCTGTCTCGGGAAGAAAAAAAAAAAAAGATATGCATGAGAAAGATCCTAACAGTTTTATTTATAATAGACCAAAATTAGAAATAACTCAAGAACCCATTAAAAATATCCATTAACAGAATAAAGTGTAGTATATTTATACAAGAGAAAACTGAATGTCAATAAAAATGGGCTCTTGGTCTCCAGTAGGTCTGGAGTTGAAGCTCAGAGGTGGGGCATTTGTATAGCTTGTGCAAGGTCTGGGTTTCTGTCTCTGGTATCATCATCCACAGCGCCACCACTGAGAAGAACAGCAACGTGGGCTGATGTTCACAGACATAGAAACTAAAATAAGACACGCATGCCCACACTTACTTATCAGGTTTAAAATTAATAGGTAGTGATAAAAGTCAGAATGGTGATTGACTACACAGGAGGCAGAGAGCAACTTCTTCAGTATAATGAAAATGTTTTATATGTGGATCTGGGTGGTAATTGCAGATGCAAAATTCCACCAATGCTGTACACTGAAAATATATGTGGTATGTGTCCTTTCTGCACTTTTTGTAATAAAGTAAGCATAGAAAAATCTACAAAGCTCAGTTGATGTACTCAAATGCTATTTTTTTAATTTTGGCAGAAAGTTATAAGGTATGAGCTGATTAAATATGATGTGGAGAAGGATGAACCTGTCCGTGACACAAATGGATATTGCATCAAAGTCCCCAAAGGTACTGTGGACTTTTTGTGCAATTAATTGTGCACAAAATTATCTTGACTAAGCAACATTTAAGAACTAACATAGTATTACCAGCTGGTAAATTTTATTAAATTTAGTGGGAGAAAGATTTTTATTGACATACTCTAAAATATATATATATATAAATTGAAGGCACTGGCTTACTGTAACATATAATTATACTTTTAAGCTAGTTGAGAACCTTGCTTGTAAGGTACTTTTTGGAAAGGTCCAGACTGCTATGGCTGCAAAGCTTTAGGTGGACCTTATGTTTATGCTTTTGCCCACTATGCATTTGTCTAGTTATGATTAGGAATCATTACTGAGTAAAATATTAGCAATAAGATAATTACAATTAGGTGACCATGCAGAATAAGGTTTGGTTTATGTGTCTATGACATACATGCACACACACATGGTCTGTATATGTTCCTTTTCCTACTGCTGTGGTCAAACACCCGACAGGAAGCATCTTAGGGGAGAAAGGGCTTGTCCTGGCTCACAGTTGAAAAGACACAGTCCATCATGCCGTTGAAGGCAGAATGGCAGGACTATAAGGGGGCCATATTGCATATACAGTGAGAAAGCAGAGCACAGACAGGAAATGGAACCCTACAGTGAGGCTCTACTTCATATAAGGTCCATAGCCTTCCAAATAATCACTACCTCTTGGGGAGTTCAGACACTTGAGCCTATGGGGGACATGTCACATTTAAACCACAGCATGGTAGATATGGATATGGATATGGATATAAGAAATGACACTTCCTACGGCCAGTTTCTTCTCTGTACCAACTTGTGCCAACAGTTTTAGGATGATGATAAAATGTGCTTAATCTCTTCACAAAAATAAATAGCAATTTACTCTCTTCTGTCTTAGGTGAGGTCGGACTCTTGGTTTGCAAAATCACACAACTTACACCATTTAACGGCTATGCTGGAGGAAAGTCTCAGACAGAAAAGAAAAAACTCAAAGATGTCTTTGAGAAAGGAGACCTCTATTTCAACAGTGGAGACCTCCTTATGATTGATCATGACGATTTTGTCTATTTTCATGACAGAGTTGGAGATACATTCCGGTGGGTTTCTCTGAATTGTTGCGTTCAAAAGAAATACATGCACACTTTGGACTATTCCTGAGCTGGAATCAGATGCCTCTCTCCCACAATGCTTCAGTTCTTCCTGCCTCTTGTGTGCCATTTTGTCTCCTACATTCCCAGAGAATAAGGAGTAAATTATAAAGTGTCTCTCTACAGCACAAATAAACATAAAGGCAGGACATCCCTTCCATGTTTCTGGAGCCCCAAGTCCACCCAGCTGCTCTTGCATGCATGTCCTGCACATTTCGCAGATGCTCTTAGGATAGCTGGGGATTTCCACATTTTTCTAGTCAGACAGCTTTCAGCTTTCGGATGAAAACATTGACGTGAAGCTAACCTGGTTGAAAAGGTGCGAAGTTCAGTGCCTGTTTCTCTCCCTTCCCTTGTGTCCTCCGTCTCCAGCCAAATGGTTTCCCACAAAATCCCCAGGCTAGCGTAAGGATGTTTGGAAGTCAGTTTGGTAAATGGTGGTGTGAATCCCCAATGATAGCTCGCTCGGTCCTCCAGCTCAGGCAGAGGCTTCCTTCCTGTGTGGATTCCCTGAGACAGGAATGCCCCATACAGCACAGAATACAGTGTCTGATGCAGGTCACTACCCTGGAGTGAGTGACTCAAGAAAGCATCAACTTCAGCTGACTACAGTAGAAAAATCAAAGTTAGATGAGAATCAGACTCACCACAGTCCTGGCCACAGGTATAACCATCTTTTTTTATTGGCTTACAAAAGCAACAGATTTTGTTTGGAACATGCCATAAGTTAATCATTCTTCCACCCATCTCTTGAGAGTTGGAATTTTATGCCACCCTCATTAAGAAGTTACTCCGGAAAGCTGGGGAGATGGCTAATACGGTATTTGCCTGGCAAGCACCAGGACCTGAGTTCAGTCCCCAGAACCCACATTTAAAAAGCTGGGCTTGATGCTAGGGGTTTGTAATCGAACCCTGGGGAGGCAGAAACAGGCAGATCCGTGAGCCTGCTGGCCCGCCAGCCACGCTAGCCAACTTGTTGAGCTCCGTGCTAGGGAGAGATCTTGCCTTAAAAGAGTGGACAGTGCCTGAGGACAAGCACTCAAGGGTGTCCTCTGGCCTACATACACACACACACACACACACACACACACACACACACACACACGCACGCACGCATGCACGCACGCACGCGCATGCATATGCACACTTACACAAAACATACACACGCATGTATTCATGAAGGCACACACACACACACACACACACACACAAAGATACTTTCGAGAGACCTAAAGGGTATTTTCATAAAACCCCTAATTCTTAATTAAATTAAAAGAGCACCTGGCTGGGCCTTAACATTACAATCTTTATGTAATAAAATTATGATTTTTTTCTTTTTAACTAAAAATTGTGTTATGTGAGAACTTGAAATACAACTATGAAATTCTCCTAACTAGATTGCTAACTGCTGACTGAATTAAATAAGATATTATAGGGGAAAAGTGAGAGACTGAAACAAAGCTAAAAGAAGTTGGGATTTATTTCTGACATCCAGTGAACTTTCTTAGCCTAGTCTGGATCTCACATTCAAACACAGTGATGTCTATTATGCTTTGTGTGACAAGATTGAAATTCCACATTCTATTACCTAGGTCTAGACCCTTTTGCCTCCAACATATCACTGCAAGTGAGCTGGGAGTTTTAGGGGACCAGTATGGGAATACCAGCCACCTCGCCAAGGTCTAAAAGAAACACTGGCCAGAGAGCAAGTGTGACCTCAGCTAACCCTTGCTTTTCTCCCAGGTGGAAAGGAGAGAACGTAGCTACCACAGAAGTCGCCGACATAGTAGGATTGGTTGACTTTGTTCAGGAAGTGAATGTTTATGGAGTACCTGTGCCAGGTATGTAGAAGACACCGTGAATCTATCTGAACCCGCACAGGCACTGAACAGAATCATCACTGACAGGCCAAAGTTGGTCTTGCTTTCTCCTGCTGCCTGGAAAGTGAAGCTGCTGTCAATCAGCAGGGGTTAGGGCGTGTCTCTCTGCTCCAGGCACCACTGTCCGAGTAATTCAGTGCGACTGATGTGGGCCTGCCGCTGTGTTTTAGCTGCTGCTTAATTTAGTTCTTAGGCAGGGGAGGTCTCCTACTTCCCAAGTCTCTGTTTTGGCGTACCTTGAGAGCTTGAGGGCTGCAAAGTAGTCTATTGCAAGTGGGAACAATTGTAGTTTTTAGAAAGAAAACTGGGAAAGGGCAAATTTTGCTCAGCCTCTTTTTGTAGAGCAAGCTCCTAAGAGCAGAGCAGACCCTGAATTTCAGAATCATCAAGAGTGGAGTCGCTGAGGTGTCCGCAGATCTGCCTCTGCCGGCAGGGTGGAAAGAAGCCTGCCTCCAACATCTGTGGGCTATTTCACAAGCCCCTCAAACTAGGGATAACACTGGCCTTGCCGTTGAAATTGTCAGAACTAATTTATTTCAGTTTCATAAATACCAAATATATTTCTCAAATGTATACTAGAGTTGCCATAAGTAACAGTCATTTTAATTGTAGATATTAGAGAGGATTAAATTCTCCAAGTCAATGCCCAAATATAAGGTGTCAGGCTCTTATTGTTCCTAAAACTGAGTGTTTGGGATTCTCACCATTTATTCAAAGCAGAAATCAAAAGGCCCCCTTTCCCGCATGCTGACAGTGTGACAAAAGTTTCCCTGGGGAAATGCGACATGAACATCACTCACCCCGATAGAGAGCCCATAACAGACGCCACCAAAGTCCAACTTGGTGAACCAATGAGTTTTATTGGGTGAGGGGTGACTTACAGGAGCAGAAATGACTCAAAGACAATTGCATCACCAAGGCCACCCCAGCATGGGTGGCAGCACACCAAGCTGGGGAACCTGGAGCACAGTGCACAACCTGCAGGCTGCTCAGCAGGCTGGAGAGGGTCCTTTCCAGGGGCCTCAGTTGGTCTAAACCTCTTCCAGGCAGGCCAGCTGGTTTCTGCTTCCTCCAGGCAGATGGTCTGGTCTGAGAGTCTTTGTAGTTGGCTTATCTGGGAGTGACTCTCTGCAGTTTTATTGCTTCCTCTGGTAGGGCCATGAGTTCCTGAATCTACTTTAAGTTGTTTACTTTACTACATCATCTTATTTATTTTTTGTGAGAGTTTTTTTTTTATTTCCATGCAATTATATATTATACGTAAAACATATTCTCCCGGGCTGGAGAGATGGCTCAGAGGTTAAGAGCACTGGCTGTTCTTCCAGAGGTCCTGAGTTCAATTCCCAACAACCACATGGTGGCTCACAACCATCTGTAATGAGATCAGGTTCCCTCTTCTGGCCTGCAGGCATACACACAAACAGAATACTGTATACATAATAAATAAATAAATAAATAAATAAATAAATAAATAAATAAATAAATCCTTGAAAAAAATATTCTCCCTATATCCTATTCTCCCTTTTCTCATCCATCCACCACCCAGATTTCTACTTCCATGTCATATATGCATATATGATTTTATAAAATCTATAAAATCCAAAAAACCACAAATGAGAGAAAATATTTGCCCTTTTGAAGCTGGCTTGATTCACTTAGTATAATTATCTCCAGTTTTGTCCAGCTCCCTGCAGATGACCTATCCTCAGTCTTCCTTAGGGCTGGAAATTATTCCATTGTGTACACACGCCCCATTTTCTTATTCACTTGGGTTGTTTCCATACCTCAGCTGCTGTGACTGTGCTGTACACGCACTGACATGCAAGTGTCTCTGTGGTGAGCTGGAGTCCTTTGGCTACGCCCCCAGCAGTGGACTAGCCGGGTCACATGTTAGCTCTGCTCTTGGTTCTGCTCAAGAAACCACCATGCTGATTTCCATAGTGGTTGGACTGATTTACATTCCCTTCAGCTGCAGGGTGGGCGTTTTTCTTACCTGTTTCCCTATGATCTCATGACAATGATGTGATGGAAAGTGTAGCCACATCTCAGGTCACAGAGGCTTGACAAGTGGTCTGGAAGGAAATGCAGCAGACCCTCAGCTGAGGTAACACAAGTGTCCAAGTCACGGTTGTCAGCCACCATGACACCCTCCGCTGTTATAGCCCCCTCTTAGAGTGGTGGGTATGTTTCAAAGTGTTAAACCTTAAACCTTTTCTTAAGTAGCCTGAAAAATCTAGAACGTGGATTGAAAGCCCAGTATTTCTCAAAGTGGAGTCTCAGATAAGCAGCGTCACTGGAAAACTTGCTAAAATTGACCTATGTCGGGTCCACTCAGATTTGCTTAGGGGGTGGGTCCAAGAAGCAGTACGTTTTAAAATCCCTCTAGTGACTCTAAAAAAAAACACTAGGCTAGGGGGTGTGGCTCCGTGGCAGAGTGCTTGCCCAGCAGGCGTTCAAGGCTCCGAGTTGGACCCTTAGCTCGCCCCCCACAACACACACACAACGTTCGAATCTTATTTAGATGCCACGAAAATGTCCTAAAATGTATGGTAATTGGACAATGTACTAAACACCACTGAAGTGGTGAAGATGATGAATTTCATATTTTATACAATTAAAAAAAATACAGACATGATGGCGTACAATTGTGATCTCAGCCCTCAGTGGACTGAAGTATAAGTCACTTCAAGGTCAGCCAGAGCTAGGTAGTGAGTTCCAGACTAGCCTGGGCTACATAGTGAGATCCAATCTTTAAAAAAAAAAAAAAAGTACAACAAAAATCCCACTGAAGTATGAAAAGCACTGGAGCCTTTCTCAAAACGTAGCCAATTTCACAGTCACCTGGGGAAGTTCGTAAATCCCAGAGCTAATGCATCAGAACTTCTAGAATTGGGATCTAGAATCTTCCGAGTGAGCTGTCAGCCAGGGTTGGCAGTCAGGGCGTAGAAGAAGGAAGAGGCCCTCCCTAGGCAGTCAGAACAGGGAGCGGCTGTGTTCAGTGCTGTTCAGCAGCCCACCTGAAACAGTTTGAAATGATCAGGAAGAGGACATCATCCTGGAAACCCCCATAGCCAGAGGGACCAACCGTCAAATGGACTTGTTTCCAGAGTTGGGTGGTCACCAGCTGGGCATGTAAAAAGATGTTAGACCCTCTTCCATCTGAGAATTCTAAAAGAATTCTTACAGCAGTGGAAGATTAAAAATGAACTCTAGCCAGGCGGTGGTGGCACACGCCTTTAATCCCAGCACTCAGGAGGCAGAGGCAGGTGGATCTCCGTGAGTTCGAGGCCAGCCTGGGCTACAGAGTGAGATCCAGGATAGGCAACAAAATTATACAGAGAAACCCTGTCTCAAAAAAACCAAAAAATAAAAATTAAAATAATGAACTCTAAAGTCCCCGCTCCCCAGCCCCATATTCTCGGTGTCACATCTGGCATCCGAGCCATCGTAGACAGCTAACCCAAGCCTGGGAACACAGCAGGCCCCTCTCAAGTCAGGTGTGCATGCACCCGCCGTGGCTGTGGTCAGGTGTGCATGCACCGACCGTGGCTGTGGTCAGGTGTGCATGCACCGGCCGTGGCTGTGGTCAGGTGTGCATGCACCGGCCATGGCTGCAAGCCTGTTACCACCTTTGCACCAGGGAAGAACGTCTTCTTTGGGACCTAGAATGCAGGCATCACACAAGAACAGTCCCATACTCTCTAGAAGTTCCGGTTCTCAGAAAAACTTTCTGTGTTAATGAAAGTATCCAGTGGAGTAGCTAACAGTCACTGCTGAGTATGGAAAATATGGGTAGTACAACTGGAAAAATAAATTTTTCCTTTCACTTAATCATAATTGAGTTTTAGTTTTAATAACGGTAACGTGGGCAATGGGTGCTGTATTAGACAATACAGCTCTCAAGCCCTAGCCTAAACCTTCTTCCTAGAGCTGAATTACTCAAAGGCAACCTCCAGGAGTCAGTGCAGAGGCCTGGGACCAACAGGCCCACCTCCCTCTGGATCAGGCACTGTCACTACCACAGCAAGGGGTGGAGTCAGTCAGTGCAGAATATATCTGCTGCACCAGCTCCCCCATAATTCTAAGAGCAACTTACTAGGGATATTTGAGTTCCTGAGTCAGGTATGAGGGACGTCCTCCCCCAACCCCTTTTTTTTTTTTTTTTTTTTTTTTTTTTTTTGAGACAGAGTTTCTCCTTGTGGTTACCCTGGCTGTCCTGGAACTCACTCTGTAGACCAGGCTGGCCTCGAACTCAGAGATCCACTTGCCTCTGCCTCCTGGGTACTGGGATTAAAGGCGTGCGCCACCACCATCTGGCTCCCTGCCCTCTCCTTCAGGTCAGAGGGAAACTGACTAAGGAAGTACCTCTTCTTTTAAAAAAATATCCTTTTGTTTTTGCCTTCTTTAGAGCAATAGGTAAACATATAATCACCATGGGAGAGATTTCAAACGCTGGGGCCCAGGTGACGGAGGACGGCTCCTTCCTATCTGATTACAGCTAAGTAGTTCAGGGAAGTGGACCCGGACTCCCACTGGGTCTGCTGGATCAGGTAGAAAATATATTAATACCTAATTACTACTGTCCTCACAAGCAAACAATGGTAATTGTTCTAATCACCTCTCCACTAACAGCCCTGCTGTCGGATCGGTTTTCTCTGTGTGGTGTACAATCCCTTGAGAGTACTGGGCATGAATGGAAGGACACACAACAGCTCTCTCTGTGCCTGTCTCCGCCCCTCTGCCCTGCAGCCTCTCTGAAATACAGAGAAGGAAAAAGCTGCTGGGAGCTTTGAGTGAATAAGGATGTCTCAGAGGCGGTATCTGTGTCCACGGCACATATCGGACCCAACACTGCAAACTAAATGGCAAACCCAGCTCAGTTATTCATGGTGGTGGAGCAAGACCTTTTGCTGGAATCAAAAAAATAAAACAGACAAAAAATTCCCTTTAGCCCCAAGTTCAGTCAGTGTCTTAGTCAGCTCTGTGCGGCTCACTAAGAACAACAGTGATGGCCACAAGCCAACCTGCCTGGATCAGTCTCTGATGGCGCCTGGTCCTTGCTAGATGACCTTGGACAAGTTGCCGAATGCCTTTAAATCTCAGTTTCTTCATCCTTGAAGTGATGGGGGTAACATCTGCTCCTCTTCTTAAGGTTGTTGCTGTGGTTAAATAAGAATACACTGAGTATAGGCCATGGCAACTATTAAAGAGTCAGCATAGATCTATTGTTGGTTTTGTTACTTTACTATTGGTTAACATTCCTGGTAATCACGCATTCATCATAGAATAATGTGGACATATGTGTTTGAAACAAAAGTTGGAACTATTCAAAAGAAACCTAATGTTTGCGGTTGCCGCCGTCCATAGTTCTCTGACCTGGCAGAGCCTTGTGAGTGAAAGTACCAGCTGATGTTTTCTTATTCTATTCCCAGGTCATGAGGGTCGAATTGGGATGGCCTCAATCAAGATAAAAGAAAACCACGAGTTCAATGGAAAGAAGCTCTTTCAGCACATCTCGGAGTACCTGCCGAGCTACGCGAGGCCTCGGTTCCTGAGAATACAAGTGAGGACACTTTCCAAGTTCAGTTCTCTCCCAGGCTCTTTCTTAGGGAACCTCCCCCTTCTCCCATGGTGATCACATTTGCCAAATTTCTACCATGCTCACTAGACAGAGTTCAGGAAGAAGTTCTGTAGTTCAGTAAGAACAGGGAAATACCAGAAACAGAGCACACAGAAACCCAATCCAAATCTCTTCCCCACTAAAACGACAGGCCAATTTATTCACCTGTAGCCTTGGCAAATAACTAACAGAGTCAGTGTTTGATGAGGTGTCAAAGACACTTCAAGGAGAAATTAATTATCTAACCCTGCCATTTCAGGTTTACTCTTCTTGTTTTCTGTGCTTCAGCTAGCATGCAGAACCTTCTTATGCTAGCCAAGCACTCTGCCACTGAGATACATCCACAGCCGTGTTGTTTCCAATTCTAGAGAATACAAAATCTGCTGAGGCCCTACCCCTTCCTATAGGGGACATTCTAACTGAGCATCGTCGTAACTTGGAAATGTCAAGCAGTCACTGGAGTTGGCTCAGTCCTCGTTAAGTACTTTGAGTCCTGTGGTTATGTAACTGAAGACTTGACAAAGTCTGGGGTCCTGAGTAGTGTTGAATGCATTAGGGGTACTTCTGTCAATGCCCATAAAGGGCTGGCATTTGTTTTGCGTGCAGCTGGTAAAGACAGAAACATGAACTGTCTTCAGACGTGTCTCATAACATTGAAGGGAGTCTAGGCTACCAGATAAACTGACTGGGAAAACGGAATCCCTTGTGAACAAATGACCCCTCTCCAGCTTCCACCCACAGCCGGGATAGCCCACCTTACCAGAGGCCCCTCTCTCTGCTCATAGTCTGCACACTGTTGGCAGCTCTTCATTCCACATGGGGCCTCTAGTCAGTGGTTCTCAGCCTTCCTAAGGCTATGACCCTTTAATACAGTTCCTCATGTTGCGGTGACCCCCAACCATAAAATTATTCTTGTTGCTACTTCATAACTGTAATTTTGCTACTGTTATGAACTGTAATATATATAGCTGATATGCAGGATATCTGATATGCGACCCCTGTTGGGATCACAACCCACCAGTTGAGAACCACTACTCTAAGGAAGTAAAACAAATCCCTCACTTAGGGCCCCCATGTAGAGCTTCTGCAAATGGCAGTGTGGATACATACTCATCAGCTCTCACAACAAAGGAAGCCAGCATGCTGCCAATCCCCACCATCTCCACCCTAACCCTGCATCCTAACTCACTGTAAAGCACCACTAACACATAGATTGTCTATCTTTTTCAGGATACCATTGAGATCACTGGGACTTTTAAACACCGGAAAGTGACCCTGATGGAAGAGGGCTTTAATCCCACCGTCATCAAAGATGCCTTGTATTTCATGGATGACACAGCAAAAACCTATGTGCCCATGACTGAGGACATTTATAATGCCATAAGTGATAAAACCATAAAGCTCTGAATATTTCCAGATGACTATCTCATAACATTTCCAGAAAGACACTCAATAGACCTAGCATAGCCACTTGATATAATCCAACTTTAATTTGATTGACAATTATAAGGTGCAATTTTTTAAGGAAATTATTCATTAAAAGGACAGTTTTTTTTTAATTACACCTGAACCTTTGCAAGTAAAAAGATTTAGAGATAATTATTTTTCAATGTGCGCCTGCCATTTGTCCTTGCAAACGAAGCTTTTTGGAGAGAGGGCCTTATTTTTTTAAATACATAATAAACTATATTAACACTAACATATGAAATTTGCTGTCTCTTGTGCTTCTTCCTCTATTCTATGCAAATTCCGCATCTGTTATTCCAAACAGAGAGTGCCATTGGCCACAGGTGTCCTGCTCATCTTGGTAGGAAGCGGCAAAGGAGAGGGAGGGTGGGCCAGCAATAACACGATGGGAATCCGGCTCCAAAGTAGGGGGCCCACCTTCCCCTCCCATAATCATCCTAGCCACTCTGCAGACAGTAACCAAAGCCAGAAATGTCAGCGTAGTCCTGAAATGCTCTGTCTTAGCTCCTCCTCTACTACTGTAACAAAACACCATGGCCAAGACAACTTAGAAAGGAAAGCGTTGAATTTGGAGGCTCACGGTTTCAGAGGGCTAGGGTCTATAACCATCGTGGTGTGTAGCAGGAATCTTAAAGAGTCTTTATTAATAAAACAAACCCAGAGCCAAGTATTAGGGTGCACACTGGAAGATCAGAGAGCCAGAACAAGCCACAGATACCTCACCTGGCCAACTTCTCAGCTGGTCTTGTTTCCCCAGACTGGAGGCCTCTGAGTCCTCATCCAGAATGAGTCTCAGCTGAACTGTGCTCAAAAGCCTGAATGCTTAACCAGGCCAAATGCTTCCAGTTTCTGGTCCTCACGCCTTATATACCTTTCTGCTTTCTACCATCACTCCCTAGGATTAAAGGCTGGCTTTCTGGGATTAAAGGTGTGTGTCACCATGCCTGGCTGTTTCCAATGTGGCCTTGAACTCACAGAGATCCAGAGGGATTAAAGGTGTGTGTGCCACCATTTTCTAGCCTTTGTACCTAGTGGCTGTTCTGTCTCTGACCCCAGATAAGTCTATTAGAGTGTACAATATTTTGGGGAACACAATACCACCACAGTGGTGGGAGCATGGCAGTAGGCTGGGGCAGCAGCTGAGAGCTCACATCTGATCTACAAGCATGAGGAGAGAACTAACTAGGAATGGAGGGGCCTTCTGTCATTCTCACACAAACCACCACAGGTGCCTGAGCCTGGTGTGTCCTAACTCCACACTTAAAAGATGTTCAGTAAGTATCTTTTTAGATACTTCAAGGGTTGCAAGAATATTTGCCCTCAGGACTCCTGTAGAAGCTATAGTAAAGAAACAGATCATTGCCAGGCGGTGGTGGCACACGCCTTTAATCCCAGCACTCAGGAGACAGAGGCAGGCAGATCTCTGTGAGTTCAAGGCCAGCCTGGTCTACAGAGTGAGATCCAGGACAGGAAACAAAACTACACAGAGAAACCC